GGATAGGGTGCCGTCCGAACACAAACTGGAAGCTGATTCCACAAAAGTGGAGCTTGATAAGAAAGTGATCAGCCTTTCTATGATGTGCTGTCCACTGCACAGGGTTATGGTCGTGGAAATGGTGTTATTGTAATAATGTGCATTTGGGCAAAATAAGTCACAATATTACCCAAAGGGTTATAATAACGTCTGACAATTTAACAAAAATAACCAACTTATAAAATAAATTATAAATAAGATTCTCATAATATAGATTAACTTTATAAAATCCTTCCTCCTGCCCCCTGGCAGTAATGGCAGACTGTACACATGTCAATCAGTGCTCTGCATTCACAGTGTGCATAAAGGGAAGCGTGTTAGCGGATCACATGATGCTATGAAGATAAAAAATTGCATTTATAAAACAGAGCAGCAAATTCAACAAATAGAAACAAATCTGTAAACCTTAAATTGATTCACAAATGAGTGAAAAATGATTTATGATACATAATGAATGGAGTATGGACAGGCATATAAAGTGCATACTAGTTTTTCTCTCTTCCGGGCAGCCATCATTCATTACAGTATGTTCTGACAGTAAACAGAAACATTGAGATGTGGGAATGTTGTCCTGAGCTCAGCCTGCAGCCTTGCAGCAGTGCAGTGACAGAGTCTGTCTCTCTGTGTCCCTGCTGGAGCTCCTGGCCTTCAACCTGACCTTCGTCTTCATCGCCAGTGTGCTCGTCCTCGTTGAGGTAGGACTGCTCACACACAGCAGCTTTTACATTCAAACGGAAGGCATTGTCTTATGATATTAAGTCATCGCGGTCATGTGAGTGGTAAAACATGTAATTCAGAAAACTCTCCTCAAGACTCCAATAAGAAGCATATTTGTTAAATGAAATTCTCGCAAGAGATAAAGCCCTGATGCGTAACCTTCCGACACACATACATCATAACCATCCATCTAGCCAACACTGTAACAGCAGGGCGGCTAAGGAGTGGGTTGTTGGTTTGATTACCCTGTAGTCAACATATTGAAGTGTCAATTGGCAAGACACTGAAAATGGTCCCTGAAAAAGCACTATAAATGCAGTCTATTTACCTTTGACAAAAGTAGATATAGTCTGAAGTATTCATACCATGGATAGAGCAGTGATTTATTAATCCTGTGCATTAATCATTCACACAGTCTCCTTCTTACATGTGGCAGCAGCAACTTTGTTGCTTTGAAGCTGCATAATGTGTTTAGCATCTTCATATTTGTCTGGTATTAAGGTTTAATCTTCATTTGTGAAATATGCTGCTGTGCAGATGTTTGTGATAAAGCTAAAACGACGGTTTGAGAAACTCTCTGTGTTGACCGGCTTACAGACCACTGTTAACGTGTTTTATAAAACCTTCACTTTCCAGTATTTTTTTCAGGATTGACCGAAACTTTACCCGGCATCAATACATACATACACAAAGATGCAATGTATTTAATTATAACGCAAATCAAAAGTGTGTTTGTGATCCTAGAAAACTTATGTTGCCTGTTTCCAGCCTTTAGCTGCAGGTTCGGGGATCCCAGAAATTAAAAGTTACCTAAACGGAGTGAAGGTTCCAGGAGTCGTCCGGCTGCGAACTTGCCTCTGCAAAACTGCTGGAGTCCTGTTCAGCGTGGCTGGAGGTAAGGTTTGACTTTCATACTGAATGTGTCCAAGTTGAATTTATTTATATTGAAGGGGCTTGCTACTGACAATTTGTTCACCTAAATCAAAAATCTTAGTTTCCAAAAGGAAAAACAAAATTCCCACAATGACGAGCAGTGCTGTTGTGATGATCCAATTAATAAATACATATAATGGAATTGTTTGTGTGTGTGTGTCCAATCAGGTCTGTTTGTGGGGAAAGAGGGTCCAATGATTCACAGTGGAGCCATAGTGGGGGCTGGCCTTCCTCAGGTACTTCTGCACCTGTCTCATACTGTATCTTAAACTTTAAGGACAGGTTCACATAAAATATGTGGTAACACAGCTGTCAGTGGCCACAGAGAAAAAGGTTCCTTCATGTCATTCCTCCTGTAAAAAATACAAGTGGTTTCCCTCATCTGGAAACTGAGAACCTGAAGACGACTTTGAAATGCAGCTCAGCACTGTGTGTCAACAATATTCTAGTCTGAAATCTGTAAATAAACTGCAATAATGTAAAGGTTATTAGCGCTGAAAACACTATGAAACTTGATGATGATCATCAACATGCTTTATTATGTCTTATAAATTGGTGCAGAATGGTTTAGGTTGATATCATTTGTTACATGGATTTGGTGCCAAATAAAAACAAATTACCACTCAGGAATTGTTACAAATTAGGAAATATCACTCCATTAGGACCTTTAGACCTTAAAATAATAAATCCTGGGATTAGGGTTAAAAAACACTTTTGGTATTTGGAGAGTTCTATAAGAATTGCATATATTTGGCGAATAGAACAGAAACCCCCTTATTGTGAAATAGGAAAGTCTAACCCCTCTGAAAGCTCTCAGTCTGCAGTTTTAAAGCTTCATGAAGATGTGATTACCATAAAGTGAGCATGTCTGTAGAGCAGAGGCTGCTGGGTATCTATAGAACATTTTTGCATTCAGAAAACTAGAGGTCAGAAGTCAAGGGGACCCTGTGATTGTAGCCATGGCAGCTCTAACTTTGCCAAAAATGTGCTTTGGAGGTTATTTATCCTCTTTCCCGACAAGTTTAAAGGGGACCTATCATGCAAAATGCACTTTTGTACATCTTTTACACATGAATATGTGTCCCCGGTGTTCCAGGGAACTCACCAAGTGTCAGAAAATACAACCCTCTCTCTTTTCCTCCATACCCAAATCTCTAAAAACGGGGCTGCAACGGATTTGATACATGTGGATTCTGATTTGCACCTCTATGATGTCACAGAGGTGCACTCCGCCTGTATGGTCAACTCTCCACCTATCAGGGGAATGAGAGGTTGCCGTGGCATGGCAACAGCATAGCAACAGCATGGCAACAGCATAGTAACATGACGCTTGTGCCTCGCCCCCTCCTTTGCAGGGGGGTGGGTCAGCTCCAGCTCATGCAAAGACAGAGCTGGAGTGAGGCAAAATGAGGCATGGCTAAAATGCATGATCTGTTTGTTATTTTGAAAAATAAAACTTATAAATATACCTACAATATATTATTCAAATATAGCATGATATGTCCCCTTTAAACTGCAATATGATATCAGTGTCGTCGCTCCAGTGAGCCTGCTACAGCCTCTTAAAGACAGGGAAGTGGGCAGGGCTTCACTTCCATTGTAAAATGATTGACTTTCAATTGGTCCATCCACTGATGGATTTGACTCATATGGCTAGAAATGTGCTCATCAGTTTTCTTCTCCCTCCATTAGTTTCAGAGCATCACTTTCAAGAAGATCAAATTTGATTTTTCCTACTTCCGCAGTGACAGGTATGGCTACACAAACTACACAAACTACACAAACAGCGTTTCCGAAGTCAAAATATGCAGTTAGTGTGAACAAGCATATCTCATGTTGTCGTGTGTTCTGATTTTCAGGGACAAGCGAGACTTTGTTTCAGCAGGTGCAGCAGCTGGAGTAGCTGCTGCATTTGGTGCCCCTATAGGTGGCACGCTCTTCAGTCTGGAGGAGGGCTCCTCTTTCTGGAACCAGGCACTCACTTGGAAAGTGGTATGTCACCTCATCCAAAACATCAAAACATGTGTTGTCTTTCCGGTGGCTCTGCCGATTTAATCTACACTAGTTAAGTAGACCTCAGTTTTCTCCTCTGTTTCTGTTCAAGCTCTTCTGCTCAATGTCTGCCACGTTCACCCTCAACTTCTTCCGTTCTGGGATCAACTTTAACAAGTGGGGCTCCTTCCAGCTGCCTGGTCTGCTCAACTTTGGAGAGTTCAAGGTAAAGAGTTAATCCCGGGGGTTGTCTCTTTGAGCTAAAATATGTGTGAAAATGTATGTCATTAAGTTTTATTAAATTATAACATTTATATTATAATTATTCAATATATTATTGGTATCAAAAACTCTTTTATTACACACATCTCAACAACAATAACAATTGTGCAAATTGTAAAAATATTGTTCAAACACCACGCTAATTTCATCATTACAGCAAGTCCTCTCATTTGCTGCTGCTGAAACCTTGATAATCTTTGTGGTTAATATCCACATTCTTTAGTAGAACTCCAGCACGTCCAGTGCTCTGCTGCTTGCATGTTCACTTACTACCGCTCCAGGGACCACATCGTCCCTCTACTAAAAGACCTTCTACTGTTTACCCATCCCACAATGGATCCATTTCAAAATCCTCATCACAAACCAAGCCCTTCATACCCAGGCCCCCTTCTGCCTCACCCACCTTCACTGCCATCCTCCTTTCCTTTTGACACCAACCTCCTATTCCCACCATTCAGGAATGGACACCGGATATGGGCGGGGGACTCCATCTGGAACTCTCACCTCCAATTTATCTGTGACTACTCGAATCTGTTTATGTTCAAGATCAAGAAAGGACTGAGAACTCTTCTTAAGACGGCTCTTATTGTTTCAGTTTATGTCCTGTCCTGCCTTTTGCCTGGTGAACTCTCTATGACCTTTTGTTTTCTCTCCTTTCATTCATTGCTTGATGAAACATATCAGTGACGTTCTGATGTTTGCTCTGCAGTGTCCAGATGAAGATAAGAACTGCCACCTGTGGACAGTAGTGGACCTGGCCTTCTTTGTCCTGATGGGGGTGGTGGGTGGCTTGCTGGGGGCGCTCTTCAACTGCATGAACAAAAGCCTGGCCAAGTATCGCATCAGGAACATCCACCCAAAGGCCAAGTTCATCAGGTGATTGCTACAGGGCATCTTCATACAATCAGCACCCATCTTTACTGTCATAAAGGTCTGTTCTGCTTTTGACTGCAAATGTCTTAAAATGTGACACTTATTTCTTTTAGAGTTTTAGAGAGTCTACTGGTTGCCATGGTGACAACAGTAGTGATATTTGCTGCTTCGATGCTGTTAGGCGAATGTCGTGACCTGTACTCCCCCACAACCCACAACACCACAGTGAGTGACTCTTTCCTGCATCCTTACTGAGCACTCATGTACAGTAACTCACTCAACTTTTAAATAATAAGGGGCGGCTTCACAATGTAACAAATATGTCTTAAGGCGAGACACGGCAGGCAAAAACATCGTTTTTCATGCCCATGTCAATTTTGAGATTTTGTGCTATTTTGATTCAATAAGATGTTTTCTTTCAGGCTTTTGGAAGGAAAACATACAAAATACACATTTAGGTGTTTATTTTACTATAGTTTGTCTATTTCCGTCGGTAGATTTCTCCTAAATTCACCAAAAGTTAGCAATCTAACGTAACATAAAGTGCCGTGACCGCTGTTTGCTCCATGTCATGAGAGGTACCGTTGGAAAGCTCAGGTTCTCCTGCACAATCTCATCGGATCCAAATATGGTCATTTCCTTTGTATCAGCAACCAATCGTGAAAGTACAAAGGGGTCATCTGACCAAAGAACGGAATCTTATTGGCTGGTGTCAATTTCTGACAACGTGATTCGTTCAGATGCGTCACGTGGTGCGCCATGACACTTCCTTGTTTATATTTGCGCTGAAAATTTAAATCTCAAAATGCCGAAACATCCGCGAAAAAATCGTTCAAAAGAGAAGAGGAACAACAATTGTCACCTGCACGTAGCAAGGGTAGAAGACAAAACAAATGACCCCGACCTGAAAAACCTCCCTTGTAGTGCGTCCAGAGCGCGAAGGCGTGTCACCCAAAGAGCAGGAGGGTTAGATAGCGCCACGGCACAGCAGCGCTGGATGAATACATGTAGCGCGGCTGGAATGAACTGCTCAGTGGGTTGATTTGCGCAAATTGCGCAGGGACAGGGCTCAAGATTAACAGTCGGATCCGCAAAACCGATGGTTGTCTGTAGCAGCTTAATTTTAGAGTGCAGTCTGTGTGTGATGGGGGGGTGACCGCAAAAGGGTGTACACAGTCTACACGTCTTCAGGACGAAACCAGAAGGATGTTGCTTTTGATGGAATGTGCAGAATGTGCTCTTAGCGCACCGAGTTAGCTGGCTAGCTGCAGCTCTGAAAGTACAAATTAGCAAGAGTGGTGGCAGTCCTGCATTCATCTCAAACCGTATCAGAACATGGGACGAAGAGAGGACAGGTATAGGATGAACACGGGTGTAGAGGACCAAGGAGAAGAGACTTGAACTAGTGGAAGTTCAGGGGAGTATAGAGCTTAGTCAGGAGCAGGGTCAGGTTGAGTGTGAGTTTTGGTCTCCGTTATAGTGCAGGGGAAGTAGAAGAGCCTGGAGTCACTCACAGAGCAAGGGGCAGTGCAGGCGAGGCTTATTGCAGGAGGTGTGACCGCCGGATGTGTGCAGGGATTGGGCGGAGGGGAGGATGCAGAGGGCAGTTAGTAAGACGAGCAGGCGTGGTCATTTATGGGCGAGGCATGCAGAAACGAGGCGTTCAGCATCCCGAGTATGGATCGGTTTGTAGCAGTTGACATCCGTAATGAGTGGTGATGACGTATGAAATCCGGTATCATCCCTATGGCCATGCTGGGTGGCTTCTAAAGGAAGTGGCCAAGCAAGGAGCAAAAGATACAGAAGAGGAGCTATACAGATTGCGGAACAGACATCATATGATTGTGCAGAGAAGCTTCGCAGGGGTCAGAGGCAAAGCAGAGTGGGAGCAGGAGTCAGCCAAGAGGATGTGGCCAGGTGCGGTGGAGGAGTCGGGCCGACGCAGGGCTGCGGGTAAGCCAGAGATGTGGTCAGGATGCGGGGTAGCGAGCATTTAGGGAGTGGGGTCACTGAACCCAGGGTACGGCGCTGGCATGAAGTGGGTGAAGAGTAGAGGTGCAGTAGAGCGATGCCAGCAAGGCGGAAATGGGGACCAGCACTCGAAAATAATGGAGTTTGGACAGGAGAGGAAGAGTGAGGGAAGGCGAGAGGGTGTGGAAGGCTGAGTGCAAGGAGAAAGCAGAAGACGTGTGGGCAAGAAGGTGTAGTTACGAGGGCGATCTGAAAACCGAGGGTGTCGCAATCGAGTAAAGAGTC